CGGCGGTGATCCGGCAAGGAGGTTCGCCGACTCCCCGGAGATCGTGCGGTATCCGCGGATCATTCGGATCGCCATGACCCTCTGTGACATGAGCAGCGTCCGAGCGGGACGCCGCAGCATGTTCGGCGCCCACACAGGGGCGCCGTAGAGGGCCATGGACCGCACGACCCCGGCGTATAACCTCCGGCAGGAGGCGTTTGGCCCCCCGAGGTTGGGGAGGATGCGTTTGAACGCAGCCCCCGTCCTCTCTAACTTTGGAGCCAAACGTCGGAAATGCTCTATGAAGTTCCACCGACTGTCGAGGACGAGTCCTAGGTACTTCATCGCCGTCTCGACGCCGATGGTAACCCCTCCCGCCGTTATTTGGGACCCACCCGGAGGTGGCGCGTTCCCGCGGCCATGAAAACACATGGCCTCGGACTTGTGGAGCGCCACCTCGAATCCCAACTGCCGGATTCTTTCAACGACTGTCGCAACCGCTGTCGCCATTAAGTCGGCCGCCGCCTGGTGCGACCTCCCGTGCGCTAGCACCAGCGTGTCGTCGGCGTAGCATATTGTGCTAACGCCGTTCGGGAGGTCAGTGCGCAGCACCCAGTCATAGCCGATGTTCCACAGGGGCGGCCCCAGAACCGAACCCTGTGGAACACCGCGTGACATCTCTCGCCGGTTCCACTCGCCCCGGTGACCGGGGTAGCTGACGGACCTGTCCGTCAGGTAAGCCTCCCGTCTGCTCGTTTACCGGCTTATCACATAAAAAAGGTATATTTCATTTTGAAGTAGTTTTTAAGTTTTAAATGTTATATTAAAGTTTGTATTGTTATATATTAAAGTTTGTTTCCGTACGTTGTGATTAAGTTAAAGTTGTGACGTCAATATCAAATGATGTTCGAAAGTATTGCACTTGGAAACATTATGAAGCATTAATACTTCATACACATTCTCATACGTAAACTAAAACTAGAGTATTAAGAGGCACAAAGGTTTCATAATAACAATATTGTATATTCCGCCCACGTTTATAAAAGTTGTAAAGCATTCAAGTTTTTAATTTCTAAAAGTTCCTTTTTGATATAAAAAGCGAACAACGTAAGAAGGTCAGACATTTTTAATTTTATTTTTTACTAAACTCGAACGTGTGAACACTAAGCTGTATAAGACTTTGTAATTTACTTTAGTGAAAATGTGATGTTATTTTAAATATTACTAAGTGAATTGTGTTTCATATAGAATAGGTAGAATAGGTATAAATACACCGTGAAATCTATCTCGTAAATACTCGTATTTCGTTTTCGTCCCGCCACAAAACAACTAGCCTTAAGGAGTACTTCCGATATATAAAGTAAAAACAAAAAAAAAATTATGACATATTTTTTTAGTTAAATAAAATAATGGAAATATGCACATGAAACACTAGACGTAAATTTGTAGGCACTATTCGCATAGCACGTGCCTCCCGAGAAATACCTCACCGAGAATTACAAGGCTTGATATTTTGATAATATACTATGGATTCGTATGCGCTTTCGAAGTTTGCTTTTTGCAATGGTTCACCAGTTATTTTATGTTTTAACCCTTTGAGTACTGTTATTATAGACACAATTAAAGAACAATAGGTGTGCGGACACCGTTAACCTCGCGGTGTTTGACAGTTTAAATATTTTATTTCCTCGTAAAGCTATAGTATAACCAGGATAGAACCATTTTACATCGGGACGAAAACGAAATCGATTTCACGGCGTAGACTTTATTACATTTTCATAAAGAAAATAAGGTTTCAAAAAACACTGTTGTTTATGGGTGTACTCTTTTATTGTCACGTAATTACAGGGTAAATAAATTGATTGAAAATGTTAGCCCTAATTAAAAAAAATATTGTAGTACCAGAAAGGATACCTATAATTTCACGTATTATAATTTTTTATATTTAATAGTTCAGATACGGTCTGAATCTAATTTATGGGAACGTTTTTTAATAAACTACAAGCAGGTATTCCACATCGCCATTTGGCAAACTAGTAGCATTGCCAACTAAAGGTGTTGGATACAATTTATGAGCGAATGTCTTTGTATAAATTAGTCTTATCACATTGCTGGCTCGCGAAGTAAAACAATTCCGTTGGCTACTGGCTGAAAGAGTTTGTCATTCTGTTTGTATTTAAAATACATAACAGTGACCTTTTATCCCCGAAGGGGTAGGCAGAGGTGCACGTTATGCCACTATACAATGTAACATCTACTTTTCACTATTTATGTTATGAGTCCAATGTAATAGGGGGTGAGCTTATTGCCATATACCGAGCACAATTCCAGACTCCGTGAATTTTTTAGAAACCCAGTAATACTTTGCACCGGGAATCGAACCCGAGATCTCTTGCCCGGCAGTCGCACTTGCGTCCACTCGGTCAACAAGGCAGTCATTATTCAATCATTTAGAATACTAGTTTCTATATATTTTTTTTATGAAGACGTAGAATGTAGAACTGGATTGGGGTGAAAGAGAACGGAATGCACAAATATAAGAAAATACGAGGTATATGCATTTCTATTTATATGTATCTACATATTTTTATCTTCCTTTGTCATTTTCTGTGTTTTTAACTACATCATCTGTCAAACATCATGTCCCGGTTAAGACCGAGAACAGATTCTTATAAGTAGGTCATTGCTCACATTGGGGTTTCGTTTTCAAAATATTCTCAGATATTTTGTAGCAAATTATTCCATACATATTTTTATTAACAGACGAAAAGTTACGAAAGGCTAATACTCGGCGTCAATACAGTGAAATCAATCAGACGAGATTTTTCTGTGATAGAAATAATATTAATACTTTTTAATCTTACAAAGCAAGCAATATTACTTAAATTAAAAATGTTTCAAGCTATAACAAGTCCATTCTATTTATTTTCAAGTCCGGAACAGTTTTCTTTATTACTTACCGCTATTACTTATAAGAGAACGGAGTATTTCTTGAGAATTCACACGGGAACGACAGTTTCTCTAAGCCTGGAAGGACGCTCACAATGTGTTGAGAAAACTTCAATTATTTTGTCCTATAGTTGTTGGGTTAACGACTTTGGCACTTTGAATTTTATTATTATGTACATAAGTACTTGTTTGTTAAGTAAATTAGTTTTCTGATATTTTGGTCATATTATAATAATGTTTGTGCTTACTTCGTTCGAGAACTTTAAGTAGGTTTTACAAGGGAGATAAGTCACCAAGGTCGTCATTTAAACTTGAGTTTTATTAACAAAGGTGGATGTTTTGAATTAAGTTTAATTAATACTTAAACAAGCCGTTTTAAATAAACCCCCATTGAGACTAAGTTTTGAGGTATAGAGATAAAATATTCCTACATTAAACGTAAACCATTTGGAATTACTCATACACAATAAAAAAGACAATTTAATTTACCTTTTACATCATCTAACACATATTGAATTCAATTTTTGACTATTGACTGCACGTTGGCGCGGTGGCTGGGCAACTAGTTGCCGCGCAACGTGTCGCGGGTTCGATTCCCGGGTCGGGCAAAATATTACTGGGTTTCTAAAAAATGTGTAAAAATGTGTGATTCATAGATTGTTGTTCCGGGTCTGGGTGTCATGTGTATGTGATATTGTATGTTTGTAAACGCACCCACGACACAGGACAAAATCCTAGTGTGGGGCCACGTTTTTTTATAAAAAAAAAATGCTTCACTACAACTGTCACAATTTCAAAAAAAAGAAAAAAAAATGATTCTTAGTCTGCTTAGAAAGCGCCTGAAGGTCGTTCCATCAAAGATCTAGTTAGCAAAACGAGTTTATCTTATACATGAATAAAGCTTATTATTCAAATTCACTGTTAAAGCGACAAAGATTAAAGTACTAGAGTTATTTACGTAGCCTGTTCTCATTGAAATCTAGGCTGAATAAATAAACTGTGGACGACGATAGAATATTAAAATAATTGTTTTCTTCAGGCTGTTTGCTATTTTTCTCGAGTGTATAAAATGAAGGTATTTTCTTTATTCTTATTGATCTCATGTTATTCGTTTATTGAATACGTTTTGAGAATACGAGTGTTAATGGAATGAATGCCTTTATTGTACAAGGTGACGTTTGCAGTCCTTTTCTCTTAAAACAATTAATAATAGCTATCTATATGCTTGCTTTTATTAAATACCTACCTAGCTCAATTTCAATTTCATACTAATTAATTGTTTACATTAGGTAACATAACGTTATGCCTTTTATCACCGAAGGGGTAGGTAGAGGTGCACCATACAATACTTAATGCCACTGTACAATGTAACACCCACTTTTCACTATTTATGTTATGAGTCCCATGCAATAGGGGTGAGCCTATCGATTTATATTAGGTACTCATATTTAGAGGCCTAATCCAAAAGATAGGAGTGAAATTTTTAAAGTGATATTGAATGAAACACCAAGGATAATTTATAACAAATTTTATTCGTTGACGTTCATAATTCACATATTCCGTATCTATTTATTTATTTAAAATTGGACAATAATTTGCGTTTTAATTATTTACAGACAATTTACATTAATTATTCTCTCCCCAATTCGTCGCGATCTAATTAACTGTCAAGATAATTGTGTTATATTAAGCGAGGAGTATCTTGCATAAATGGTTTGGCCTGTTTCAAATTTTGGGCCAAATTTTGTGTGACATTAATATTCAGGTCATTGTGTAATGGTCGACACGTTTTCTTATTTAGTCATCGTTAGTGCTTTATGGCTGGTATTTCGTACAACTTGAAGGTCATTCGTTAGCGTTTATATCTTTCAATTTTTTATCGTTGACAGGATTACGTTGGTGGGCCTACGCATACAGCGATAATGGCAGGATTTTGATTAGATTTGAGAGTAATAAAAAGTATGTTACCTAGACTTTGGCAAATTACAGTAAAACTTTATTGAACGAATTGTATGAATGCCTTCAAAAACACGTCTCGTTCGAAATATGTCTAACAAATTCTAAATCATACTTGACAGTTTATGTTAGGATACAGCTTAGAAGTAACCTTATCATGTCTGAAATAACAAAGTACTTTTACTCTAAATTTTCTGATATAAATATTTATAGATGACCATTCTAAGCCGGATCCTCGCCTATGACTTTCAAAAGAGTATAATATAGTCCTTGAGAACTTCATAAGCATCTGCGACCGCCATTAAAACACCATAGACTGTCGAGAAACCGTTAAACCCTCACAAGCTCGCCATATTTCTTATCTTTATGCAAAAACCTTCAAATCTCGAGGTCTTAGAACATTACGGTTATTTTCCATTTCAACTTGTCAATTAAATTCTCTAGAGCTAGAACCTTAGTTACAATTAGAAGGGTTTCACTGTCTGCTTGTAATAATTAATTATTATATAGTCTTACGTAACTGATAATGAGTTTAAACAATACCTTTTCAAGATACATGAGTTTCAGCAACCCTTCATTATGTTAACATGACAGACAGACAACTGTACAGATTATAACTTTATTTTAATACATTTAAGTATTTACAAAGCGATAGAGATATTTACAAAGAGATTTTAAACATTCAAATAAATTTTAGTATATTAAAAAAATGTCGCTTACTGAAATATTTTTATACAAAACTGTTGTGCGATGAGAGTGCTATTCTCAATGTTAAACAGCCTAAACAAAATCACTTTAACAAAGTAACTTGATGAAAACAAATAACGAGACATTAAACACTGTGAGAGCCTTAAAGTTGTCTATTCACAAGACGCCGCCCGTGACTTTTTAACAAAGTTTTTTTAGGCACCGAAAGTACACATTTCCTTTATCCCTTTTCCCTATTAAATCACGCTTGTTTTACTTTCAAGCAATAAAATTACGATACGAATTATTGACTCAGTTTATGGTTCATTAGATATAACTTTTTACATTCAAGTGCCGAACTGTAGGTCGTTGAACGAAGGTTTTCTTAGCACGTAGATTGTTAACAGGCAACATAGGATTGATGCTGTCTTATCTAGTGTTGATTTAGCACATCCTTGTTGCATCGCCGCAGGGTGCTCACCTGTGAACAGAGATTGGAGTAAGGAACAATAATATGAAGCATCATGTCTTTGGGAAACAATTCCAGTCAAGCATTTATATCTCTGTGATTTATTTTAAACTCTTATCCAATACTAACTGTTGCCAGGGACTTCGTCCGCATAGAATATGAGTTTTAGGATATAACTTTTTTGTTTCAGTTTTCTAAAATTATATAACCTATGTTACTCCTTAGTATATCAGCTATCTGCCGGTAGTCCTGTCAAATTGGTCTGGCCATTTCAGGGATTCGCCAGTACAAACAGACAGACAAAAATCTAAAAAAAAATATACTTTGGTATGTAATAAAAAGCGGTTATTTCAATATTGCAAACAGAAAATCCTAATTTATATAATATCTGTATACATGTAAAGTTTGACAGGCAAATACAATTAGTGTTAAATGTTAATTTGTCTATAGTGTTTAAATTAAATTTAAATTATTATACGTGGTTTTCTGTTTCTTTCTTACCAGATAGTACGTGGACCCTTGTCGCTGCTGAAGGAGCATTATTAGGTCCACATGTGTAAACTCCAGCGTCGGAGCCCGTAGCTCGCTGCACCAAGAGGCGGCTGGTACTCTTCAAACCTTTCTCAGTCACCAGTGATATTCCCCCTCGTGCAGAGTCAAAGTTTATTACCTAAAAACATTACTAATTAGATATCAATTCGTTTTAATGTGAATTTGTCATTTATACGTATTGTAATGGTGTTATATTTGGACCAACATTTAAATTTATGCAAATATACAAATAACATTTTATGCTTTGTCATCATTAGCAACACAATATTTTAAATCAACACGTATTGTAACTACCGATTTGTTTATACAACTTATTATAAAATAATGTTATTGTAACTATTAGATTTACCTACATTAAAATAATAATTAATTAGGCATTTTAACGAGTTGACATAATTACCGAATGAATTTGTTAAACAGTCCATTCATTACGCAATCACTTTGAAATCGATTGACTCGGGATTGAGCCCCAATTCCGTACACATCGGAAATTTAATGCTCTTAATCCTGGCTGGCGGGGATTTGTCGACAAATTTGTTATTAGCTGAATTCGCAAAAGTTTTTCAATGAATTTTTTGAGGCCGAATTTGCTTTAGACTTTCGATATTTTTTTAAATTAAAAAGGTTTCGTACATGGAAATGATGTTGCGAAACGTGTTCAATAATGGTAATCACTAAGCCAGTTTTCCTATTATCCATATTGTATACATAATTTTATTTCTGGCAATTTGTGTGATTTTCATAAATTTAATAATGAAATTAAATTAAATCCTTATTTTGTAATTGGATAGCGACAAACCGCAGATAGTGTGCAGGGAGCGTGCACTATATTGTGGTGACCAGCGGTCAATGCGAGACCACATAGTAACTGCGTAATCAGCTTCACGTGGCTTTCTGACTATTTAATAAACCATTTAATTCTAATATTACCAAATCTAATAAATATTTTTATCAATTGAAAAATATTGCTTACTCACGCGAATCGTATAAGAAAAGTTCTATCAGTTCCATATGCTACTTATTAATAAGAGTCCCTGATTGCCTTGAAACTTGTAGAGTTTATCTCGAATAGTTCACATGTCACGTGAGTAATCTGATTTTTTATTAAGTCTCACGTCACTATGAAGTCGGTAAAAATACATGTATTGGTTATTTGAAATATCGCTAAAATATACTGTATGTTGATTGCCATAGGGAGGAATGTTGAGTGTAGGTAATAAATTGATAAAAATAAAACATACATTTGAAATTACCTGTTCTCCGTGCGTCCAGGTGATGGAGCTGGGTGGCTCGGGAGTGTGACGCACGGTACAGGTCAAGTTGATGGTGGAACCAGCTTGAATGAACAGCTCTGGACCACTTGATATTATCGTTTCTGGTTCTAGAGAGAAGAGAAAAGGGATCTTAGTATTAATTTACATTATTGGGATCAGCTTCAGATTGTCTTCAAATTTACTCCTAAGAATGCAGTAGTAATTTTTATAAAGTTTAAAATTTACTGCAGTAAACGTAGCTAAATTCAATGGTTAAGAACATGTAGACACTTGTAACTTAGAAATTTAAACATAACATCACGCCTTTTATCCCCGAAGAGGTAGGCAGGTATGCACATTACGGCACTTAATGCCAATGTAACACCCACTTTTCACTACTTATTATGTTTTTGTCCCGTTATAGGGGGTGAGCCTATTGCATTCTACTTGTAACTTAGTCATCTAAAATATCATATTTTGAATCAATTGTAATTAAATAAAAGACTGCTTCATTGGCAAAGTGGTCGCAAGTGCGACTGCCGGGCAAGGGGTCTCGGGTTCGATTTCCAGGTCGGGCAAAGTATTACTGGGTTTGTAAAAACCTCAGTAGTCACGGAGTCTTTAAATGTGCCCGGTATATGACAATAGGCTCACCCTCTATTACATGGGACTCATAACACAATTACCTAGTAAAAAGTGGGTGTTACATTGTACAGTGGCATTGAGTGCCGTAATGTGCACTTCTGTCTACCCCCTTCGAGGATAAAAGGCGTGATGTAATGTTGTTATGTAATTAAAAGACAATTTAGAATGAAATTTCAGAATATTATTTAAACCTATATTGTAAACATTCAATATTAATTCCTTTTGATTAGATTCGTCTAAAATATGGTATTTAAAGCGAGGCTATGATCTTATTAGAATTTACTAGACTTTAATCTATTGACTAAGCACTGATAGCTGGAATTATTGTCTTAGTAAATACCATTAGACGAGAAAGCCTTTTCTTTGTACTGAGAATAATGAAACCTACCACTTCTTCTCATTTATTAGCTATTTATTTTACTTAATGAAATGAACTATCTATCTACGTTATTGAGAAATATAAGTAAACAGGTTACAATTAAATGTCAATACTAAACACTGGGTTAATTTTAGAATTAAACTGAACTGTTCCCGGCTCGGGCAAAGTTTTACTGGGTTTTTAAAAAAATCTCAATAGTAGCACGGAGTCTGGAACTGTGCCCGGTATATAGCAATAGGCTCACCTCCTATTACATGGGACTCATAACATAAATAGTGAAAAGAGGGTGTTACATTGTACAGTGGTATAATGTGCACCTCTGCCTACCCCTTCGAGGATAAAAGGCGTGATGTTATGTTATGTTAAACTGAACTCCTCTAGACCTGTGAATTACATTAAAAAATCCTCGACAGTTGAACATTTTTTACTTCGTCTCCTCGAACTGATCCGACGAACGGGTCGCGTTTGCGTTCGTTCCCGAAAAAGAGTTTAAATAATGAACTCATAATTATACCAACCAACGATATTAAGGAAGACAGCGTGTCCTATTGGCGGTGTGGTAGATATCTGGCACTCGTACTGGCCGGAGTCACGGCGCTGCGGGCTACGGATGCGCAGCGCCCACTCCTCGGAGCGCGGCTTGTGCTGCGCCTCGAAGCGCTGGTCCGACGTGTACGTGTAGCGGCCTACTGTCAGTAGGTGGATGTCGCGGTGACGGACCCATGACACCTGCACAACAACAGACTGTTAAAACAACTATAAAATTTCAGTTCTTGGGTGGTAATTGGTTGCCAGTATCTAATGAGACTGTTAATATCATCTTTTAATATGTCAACTGTGACTTTTCAATGTAGGTAAACCTTGCCTGCATTATCTGTAAGCAGACCTCTAGGGTCACAGGCGCACAGAGTGGGGACTCTAGGCGCCCACACAGTGACCTCAGGGAAGACGGTGGCACAGTGGTTATGTGCCATCGTGCATTGCGAGGCTTAAGGGAGATGCATATATCCCTTGTGATGTACCGTCACAGGCGTTTCACCGTGGGGGTTCCTCAGCAGGTCTATTATAGAGGACTCGGTGCTTCTATAGGCGATGATGATGGCCACTGGGGTGGTTTTAGTGTGATAAGAATCCCACACTCCCTAGTTTTTTATCCCCAAAGAAGCTAGGCGCTGTTTGAAGGTTTGCCCCCATTATTAAAAAAAAGTATGTACATACATACCTACATAGATACTAATGCTGTATAGGTACAGTCAAATAAAGAAAGATCGTGCAAGAGAAAGTCATACCGCGGTAAGATCACGGCCTTCAGTAATAAGGAATACGACACATGGAAGACACAAGTACTTTATATCAATTTGAAGAAACAACATAAACCGTAACCATAACACACCAAAACAACTGAAAACCGATAACAAATAAACACAACTTAAAGAATTTAAGGAACATGAACATAAAAAAACCTTTTCATTCTTTATCTTTTATACCTTTTCATTCCAAAGGAAATGCTAGATGACACACATAGATACGATTGAAAGAGCATTCCTAAATCGAATATATAACATAAAATTTACGTGCAAACCAAACATTTTGTTCATCTCTGAATACGGTAACAATGTACGAACATTGTAATTTTATGTGTGTATCACTAAAGAATAAAGGAAACCAACACATTACGTAATTTCTTTGTTCGTTAGTAGAAGAGAGATAAAGCTTTTGTTTTTAATTAAAATTAAAATATACAGACGCGAGTAGCAATAGAATAGAATTGTAAGTACATTTTAAGTTATATGCTGTCTCTGTCATTTCACGTTGAAATAAACCAAAATAAATATCATTTTACAAAAAAATATGTAAATATTTCATAAAATACTCCATATTTTTCGATATTGTTTATTTGTTATGCAAACATTTACTTATGTATGTACATACACATACATAGAGGTATTACATACTAGTAGTGCATTACATGACCCTGTAAAACAAAATAACGTATACATAACTAAATAATCACGTAGTCTATTAGGTAAATATTGCATTAATTATTAACTTAATATAACTATAAAGTATTATTAAAAATTCACTTACATATGTACTATACATTATCTATTAGATTACATATTGTTAACACATATTTTTAACCCCTGATGACATTAATTTCATTAGATTTATTGCCATTTTACAAATCAATAACTACAGAACAAAAATTACTAATGAAACGTTTCTATTAGTAAGAATTATTTCTCAAGCAACTCCACAAATCTAAGTGAAGAAACTGCTTCTGATTACCATAACAAACCAGAATCTGCATCTATAAACTTCACTTTCAGTCAGCGTTTTTTGTTTGCTTTATTAAAACTTTCTTCATAAAACGTTCTGTTGGTTCTAGAGCATGCAAATTGCATTTTCATAGTGGACTCAAGTAATCTTTTAATTTTAAGAATACTATCTCAGTAGTTAATACAAACTTAAAGGAAAGAAGCAAACTTAAAGAGGATATTAAAGGAAAATTATAACGATTCGTCCTGAACGCGAACGTGAACTGGTGCGCAAAAGCAACACTGTCGGAACCTATTGAACTGTCCTACGTGAACATATGCCTGTGAGATGCGGTTTGCGGCGCAAAATGACGCGGGCGCGGACGCGATCAGTTGGGTTGATATTTTCGAGCGAACTGTCATATTTGTATGCGGTGCTGTCATGTTTTTCACATCGCATCGCATTGAATTCACGTGTCACCGCCTCATAATCGCGTTCGCTTATACATCGCCGTAGGACGTAGCGTTAGTTGTTTTATGATTATGTGACAAACAAACAATAGAGAATAAATCAGAAAAGTTTTCTAGAGTAAGTATAACAATGACCCATAATGTACTTACAACAATGAGAGAATGGAAAGCGATCTATTTCTGAGAATACTCGAGCGATATCTAGTACGTCGTAAACTAGTCTCCATCAATATCGGATTCAGTCCGGAGACATCGTTATACAAAAAGTTACGGAAGGGACAGAATAATGTTGAAACATAAATAAACGAACTTAGCATTTCAAAGGACGTCAGTGATAAAGGCCGAGCCTTTATAACTGACGCTGTTTTCAATGTCTTCAAAGACAAAATTATTAATGGAGGTATTGATTTCGAAGGTTTAGACGACAAATTGATACCTGTTTGCTAATGGACGGAACTGGAACCGAACTATTTCACGGCTTTGTAAGGAGCTGTGAGTAATGGCGATACTTTAGATGGTCGAAATGTCACGGAATACATTCCGGAGGTATTAAATGTGAGTTATATTTAGATCTGTGCCCGAAGTGATTCAGTTCTTGTAGGTTTTGTTATGAAACAAATGGAACTAAATATACAACAATAAATCAGTAATGATCATCTTCTTAATTTTTTATTTTTGCTGAATATTCTAAGGTATTTTCCGCAGCAGTCCACGACTAAGTATCGCGTATACCTTAAAAAACCATGGCACTTTGTATACTTTCCGCATACAAAGTGCCCCATTAAAGAACACTCAAAGTACTTAAAAAGAAACAATGTATATATCAATCTTCGACACCACTTCGTTCTATAGCTCATCCTCTCGTGAGTTAAACGACAGCTTCTATTAAAAAGTTTCTAGTGTCAACCTTTCCTACTTTACAACTTGCTATAAAAATATTTTAATGTTGTTTACAAACAGCTATTTCGTAAGTGTAACGTTGAGACACTTAATGGTCGGCGAAGAAAACCGAGATGGTTTCAGCGTTCAGTCATAAAGAAAAAATATCGCTCCAATTTTCCCTTTACATTTTTTAAGAATTCTTTGTAATGGATCAGTCTTAAGCACTTTACTGGGTTGGACTTATCAATAGAGATGAAGTGCGTACTTGTAAAGCAAAGCGGTCGATACCTGTAAATATAATACTGCCTGACCTTAACGCTAAGGATTTTATCCATTCAATATAGGATTCAGCGATCTAGATCTGTTGGTTGGAAGAATATTCATCTTGTCCGTTTTTTATGTGTAGTTTGTAGGATTTGTGATAAATCTGGGTTCTATGAAGTTCAATATTTTTTATTTTCCCAATGACCTTGATCTGGTCCTCTGACAAATGTCACATCTATAGCATAATCAATACAAACAGAGTATATAAAGAATTTAGTACACGCTGTGTTAATTTTAGGTAGAAAAATATTCTCTTTTTGAAATACAGGGTATGGATTAAAAAGTGAATTTAAAAATTGACGATGTGTAAAATATACGTAGGATGATTTAACGAACTAGCAGTTTTAAGCTGAACACGAACAAATCCGGGTATAAAAGGCCGGATCGTGGAATATAAAAGATTTTTTAGAATGATAAATCGTGAGACGTTGAAGTAGTTTTCTTTTAACGGAAAATGTTTCGAGACTCCAAAGCGTTTTCGGTGAAAAATTCTACGAATTTGGTTTGGCTTTCAACATGTAAAATTTCTGTAGATATTAATGAAGGATGTCGCATGAAACAGCTCAGGATTTTTAGTTACGAAATTCTTGGTAGCAGGGGTACAAAATCGCGCCCGGTAAATGGAAATGGATTTTCCTTTAGTTATGAAGCTTTGAAAGCCAGCGACCTTTCCAGCCATGCATCTGAGAGTAGTTGTTGTCAATAACAGACTTGTCAACGTAGATATTTTATTAAAGCGTTAATGTATTCAAAGAATAATAAAGTTTTATTTATTTTTTTACTATATTTATCTTTTTTTATTAAGTTTATGATATGACACTCATATTTACTCATTTACTCACATAATGATCTAGGGCTTAAAGCATTTTACATTGTGCAGATTTGTATGTCTCTTGGGAAGATCATCCCTTTATGACAGTGGGATAAAAATAAATAAGTTTGAGGCTCCGTATATTTCAGAATCATCAAATTAAGGAAGACCATACTAAAATTGCATGTAAAGTCTGCTACATAAACTTAAACAAATATCATTTCAAAGAAATTATATAATATCTCTCTTCACTTAATTCAAGTCAATACAACGCGTCATCATCCGTTTTGCCGTGAAAGACGGATAAACAAACAAACAAACACATATTCTTTCATATTTATACTATAGTATGGAAGCATGAATACTCTGTAGTATGACTCCTAAGTCACTGATTATCGATTCGATCTTTACTAGAGGACAAAGAAGATGAATGTATTATGAAACAAGATTTATTTGTTTACAAATGCATTCGTATTGTAGTTTCCAGTTCCAACCAGTTCGCCTGGATAATTATAGACTCTATTTCAAAACGTAATAATTTGACTTCTGAATGTAAATAATGGATTCATATTTATTATTTAGCTTTATCATAATACGATAGGTTTAGAATGACTTACCGTTCTATTCTGCAGGTTTTTAACTCTGCACAGCAATCGCACTGGATGTCCAACCAGTCCAGTTATATTTCTAGGCGTACTAGGGTCGAAGTAGGGTGCGTCTGGAGAGCCTTGCCATTCTTGAAGAAATTCTGCTCTGAAGTGACGTGAGGAGACATCCATTGTTGAGTGATCTTGAGGTGATTCAGTGCCGGAATCAGCTAGGACAAGAAAAGATCATATTATAATCAATGTAGGCTGAGGTTTTTGCTTAAGGTTGTAACAGAACCTAGCTTCACTGACGGACAGACTGACAGACTATTATTTATTTCATATTTGTTGACGTTTCAAAAGTACCAAGTTATGGTTTAATTGAAATAAATGCTTTTGAGTTTGAGTTTGAACAAATCCATTGTATAATTTTTTTTGGGGTATTATGACAAAATAAAAATACCTACTATTAAATATTCTCTAAAATAGCGTATTTGTGTTCTATTGAGCATGCTCAGAAATGTTCGAAATTCGAACGCCTCTCGATTCGCAATCACGTCCAAAATGAGCATGTTAATTTTGAACAACATTCCGTCACACGTGCTGCTAAGTGACAAGTGATCAATTGAAGCAAGTTTTCGTACTTGAACTTAGCATGTGTAAACGTAAACAGTACCTTAAGTCATAGTCTTAGAATTCAGAATCGGTAAAGTGACTATTCAAAGTATGCTAGAATTCTCCGAATTTGTCTATCTCCACGCTGTCTCTGTGCTCAGAATCGTCAATAAAGTATCATAATTGCTTTGCAAAGATTTAACATATTCGTATTTAAACCACTACTACTATTTGCATAGTTGAATGTATATAACTTTTATTTATGTTGAAATGAATACATAAATATATATATGTACATACATACATTCAAAGCTTCGCTCGCACACCAAACCCCCGTTTGGTTCTTCAACATAAGAGGCTATTCGCGATCATAAGTGCTGCAAAGACCTCGTAATGTTGGAAAACGTATTACAGTTAAATAAACCGTGAAATAATCTATAAAGTTTGTTCCAATTCAATATACGTTTATTGTAAATAAACATTTAATTTTATATGAACACAATGGACTTAACACACTGAATTATTAATTAAGTTTTCATTTGATTTGACAGAACTGATGAAAGGATACCAAACGTAATGATAAATAAATAATTTGATGCACTCACACAGCGATTTCGAAACAATGATTCAGTTTTCTTTTAATTTTAACATATGTTTTTATAATAACTATCGTGAGACATACTAAATTAAGTAAAAACGCGGGTTACTCACGTGAATATACTGAGAAAAGCTCTACTAGTTTCGAACCACAGAGGGGTTCTTCCTCGTGAGCAGCGTGCGCCTTTTAACCTCGAAGGAGTAGGCAGAGGTGTACACAGAAGTAACACCCACTTTTCACTAATTATGTTATGAGTCCCAGTTCCAGACTCCGTGCTACTACTGAGATTTTTTTTAAAAACCCAGTAGTACTTTGCCTGACCCGCGAATCGAACCCGAGACCCCCTGCCCTGCAGCCGCACTTGCGACCACTCGGCTAACGAGGCAGCTTTTAATTTTAGTTTATCTAAATTGCTCCATAGAAAAATTCAAATCAGATCAAAGCGTATAAAATAGGTAATTGGAATTGTTTTCACGCTTTAGTAATGGTAATAGTGAGTATTGAGCTAAAATATTATCGATTTTTGGTGTATGATAATCAGAATAGAAAACAGTTCCAGCATTTTTTAGAAGAGAGTAAGTAAGAGAGAGTAGTTCTTATTTTTATACTACTATTGACTGGGGGCTCCCAAGACCTGAGAAATCCCACTGTAGGGCAAAGGCCTATTATATGAATGAATAGAAAATTAATGTATGCGATTGACACCGACATTTGTCTAATTATCTCAGAACTTAATGTCAAATCCATAGATTCCCTTCACGCTAGTATTTGTACTGCATAGGCGTTCGATAAACGTATGAACCACGCAGACGTCGCGTTACCGCGGCGTCAGTGTAAAGCTACCATGGGTGTCTATGTCTACGCAAACGCTAGTATGAAGGGGCACTTAAAGAGATTTTTCCATTTATAAATCATTTGGAAGCTGGTTTGGAGTTTCATCTCCTCTTTTGCTAATCCCTTAGAATACAAAGATAATAATTGAAAATATTTCCAACAACTTTTTAAGGAACCACTTACTTTGTCCGGATTTCGGAACTGTCACAGGCTTTAGCCTACGTAAGTGGCTTAAAATGTTAGCAGATTGTTTTCAGCTGAATTCAGCTGCAAGTTAAAGCTGTTGTGTAAACTCTATTCCACTGAATATATTACGTAACTACCAAAAGCAATGAAATAAGTATGTTATATTGCATCAAATTGGGTTAATATATCATAAATTAGCTACTTCCGTGCGGTTTCACACGCTCTGCTCAGCTCTTATTAGTCGTAGCGTGATGTTTTATAGCCTATAGCTATCCTCGATAAATGCGCTATCCAACACAAAAAGAATTATTCAAATCAGACTTGTAGTTACGGAGATTAGCGCGTTCAAACAAACAAACAAAAAAACAAGCTCCGCTTTATATAATAGTAAGTATAAGATACCCTCATGTGTTTATTACGTAACTTGAATGCGTATTTTCATTTCATTAGTTACATCAATATCCATAGTTTCACCTGCACTACCCGGCTCCTATTTGTGATAACGTGATGTTTAATAGCTAAATTCCTTCCTCGATAATTAGACTATCCAATACAAAACGAATTATTCGATTCAGACCAGGAGTTTCGGAGATTAGCGCGTTCAAACAAATAAACTCTAAATCTATATATAAAATAATATAAAGGATAGATTTAATAGCCATTAAAATCGATTGCTTTTAAGTTTTCCTCTCATTTGCTCCTTTTGTGCAGAGGATAGCGGATCACGAGATGTCGGAGTTTGTCTGTACATAAGTGCTCTTAATACCTTTAGAAATTAGGAGAACTTGGCGGTGCTCCTTTATGTTTAGAGTACGTAAAATGGTCAACCCTGATTATGACTTAAGTGGACAGTAAAGGGCACAGCTGAATCTGTTTAATGATGTAATATTGACTTAAAATCAACAAAAAAATGGTTAATAGACGATTATGTTGGTCTAAAAATCTTACTGTTTATAATATTTTTCTTTGAATCGTATAATTTTATAAAATGTGTGAGGAGGACTGTCTCGTTGGCTGAGTGGTCTCAATTGTGACTGCTAGGCAAGGGGTCTCGGGTTCGATTCCCGGGTCGGGCAAAGTATTATTGGATTTTTTTAAATCTCAGTAGTAGCACGCTGTCTGGAAATGTGCCCGGTACTTATATGGCAATAGGCTGCCCCCTATTACATGGGACTCATAACCTTAATAGTGAAAAGTGAGTGTTACCTCTGTGTGCATCTCTGCCTACCCCTTCGGGGATAAAAGGCGCGATGTTAGGTTTTGTGTGAGGAGGTTGTTACTCTTTCACTCAATAGCACTCATTGCACTTTTCATCATACCAACGCCGTAGCAGGATCTAGTGATGTTTTTATGCTACAAAATGTGGAGTATACTTAATTTAGAATTGTTAAAAAAACATAATACCTCTAAATATCTATGTGACCGAAAATAAATGTTGCATATCACTTTATTCCGACTTTTAAAATAACTTATAGTATTCGCTGAAGAGGATGGTCTTAGCTTTTGATTTGAATGAAAACCTTTTCTGTTTGAGCACCATCTTCGGCCAGAATTTCAAGTACTTTTGTTACGGTTTGTGTGTGTGCCAATTATTTTTATGTTTCGAAAAGTTATTGTGCTCGGAGTTTCGCTATACTATAGGAGTATTCTGTGGTTTGTAAGTGTGTGACCTTTGGACAGGATCCAATTAACTGATTTTATTTTTATAGTAGTGTCTACTTTGTTTTGTTTTTCTTTCATAAAGTTTTGTATCCTTTTTGTTGTTTTTGTAATATTTCATATGCCATCGATGTCGTGGTGGTCTGGAGGTTTAAGACGCCCGCTTCTCATGTATGAGGGTGCGGGCTCTAAACTTACTAATAGAATTTCCGTGTTATTGTGTCATTGTGACTTTTCCGAGTTACCTACAATTATGTACTTTATAAGATTATTTAACCCTTTGAGTACCGTTATTATAGACACAATTAAAGAACAATAGGTTGCGGTCACCGGTGTCCACCGCAAGGTGTTTGACAGTTTAAACACTACCGACAAACGGCGAAGGAAAGTTTTAAATCTGATCTGATCCAAGCTGCATTGAAAAAGTGTGTTGATTAATGTTCAAACCTTCACGGTGTGAGAAGAGGTCTTTCGCCCACAGTGACCACTTATAGGCTGTCGATGTGATATACTAATGCCTGGACAGTGGTATCGTATTTATAAATCTTTAATGTATTAGTTTATAGCATTCGATATGGGACTATAATGCCTGAAATATTTTTTTTTTTTTTTTTTTATAATATATGTATTGCAATCTATCATATAGATATTCAGCAATATTTTTGTTAAATGCAGCAGACTTGTACGTGGGCTGTCCAGTGACTGCCCCGTTTATATTTACAACCTCCTAGATGAGGTCTTGAGGAATCTTTCTCTTTAGTCTTCTAGCGACTGTTTGGGTGTCCATTAGGTTTACTGCTAGCTTGTTTGGATGGCTTGTGATTCGGTCTTTGTACACTTTAGTCATTTTGGAAATTTCTTCCATTACAGTACTGATGCAGAGGTCGTGGTGAAGTCTGTTATTTGAGACATACCATGGTGCGTTTGTTATCATTCTCAACATTTTTGACTGGAACCTTTGCACAATTTCAATATTTGACTTTGCCGCTGAGCCCCACAGCTGTAGGCCGTATGTCCATGTAGGCTTTATTATGCATTTATATAGCAACAATTTATTTTCCATAGAGAGTTGAGACTTGTTACTCAGTAGCCAATGCATTTTGCGTATCTGTTGACCCATAGCCAGCCGCTTGTAAATATATGCTTTTTCCAAGTCAGGCGTCTATCCAAATATATTCCGAGGTACTTGGCGTATTCCTCTTGTGGGAGAGGGATGCCGTTTAGGGTCACAGGAGGACACGTTCCTTTCTTGTTTGCGAAAGTCACCTGGACAGACTTAGTTTCATTGGCCTTGATTCGCCAGTCTTTGAGCCATTTCGATATTTGGTCGAGACTAGA